ACAGACTCTCAGGTGTAAGAGCAGTGAGGTACAGATGCTCACGTGTAAGAGCAGTGAGGTACAGACTCTCAGGTGTAAGAGCAGTGAGGTACAGACGCTCACGTGTAAGAGCAGTGAGGTACAGACGCTCACGTGTAAGAGCAGTGAGGTACAGACTCTCATGTGTAAGAGCACCACTGTCCCTCCTTCATATCTCCACTGACCACCACAGAGCACCTGAACTGGTCCGTGCACATGAAATCAAGACTGGGCAAACTGTCCACTTCCTTCTGATCATTATTGCTGTGATAAAGAAGCACCTGTATTAACAGAAGCAGGAATATGAGCAAAGCAGGAGCAGGAGCAGAAGGACTTTACTTTTACCTTTAGTGTCCAGAGCCAGGATCCACAACAGAAGCTGCGAGAAAAACATCTTCACTCTCCTAACATCTCCCTGGAAACAACCTGACCCTCCCAACACTGGTGGACACTGGACACAGAAGACTGACTCTCCCTCCCCCTATATCCAACATCCCCGTGGCATCTTATATACATACACAGACCTTGCTAGCAGCCACTCCCACAAGAAACAAAACTGCACACGCACACAGTCTGAATCTTTGCCTCAGAGAGCTGAACTGGGAAGACACCCAGAGGAGACAGCCGCTGCAGGAACTCTTGTCCAGCCCTGATCTCTGGTCCTTCAGGTGCTCTGGGTGTCTTTGGGGGTACAGTCTGGGGTACAGGTTCCTGTTAATCTGGACTCATGAAGACAGTAACTGGGTCAGTCCAGTCCCTGAGAGCCCCAGTCCTTCAGGTGCTCCCGGTAACTTCAGTGATTAACTGGGCTGTTAGACTGTTGTCTTAATTAAGTGGATAAGGAGTCAAGACTTGCAGAAAGTCAGGTCACCTTCAGAAGGACCTGTTTGTTTTTAGCTTGACATCCCAGCATCTTAAAGAACTAAATCACCTAAATAACCTTTTTTATTGAACTAATTTGACCAATTTGACCAATTTAACCACAATTTTTTCAGGATCTGGCCTGAACAGCCCTGCTGCAGACACACACACTGACCCCTCCACGACCAGGACTGGACAGCCCTGCCGCAGATACACTGACCCCTCCAGGACCAGGACTGGACAGCCCTGCTGCAGACACACT